TATTGTATGAAAGTATGAAACATGCAACTTGCTGTCAAATGGATGGAACTTGAAAAGATAATCCATCCTTATTGAGATAACCCAGACCCAGGAAGAAAAACATGGTATATACTCACTTATAAGTGGATATTAGCCATAAAGTAAAGGATAACCATGCTGCAATTTACAGAATTAACCAGAAGCTAAGCAATGAGGAGGGTTTGGCGGGGTTGGGGGGGGGGGGGATGGACACACATGAATCTTTCTGGGAAGGGAGAATAGAATAAATTACAGGTAGATATGGGGAGGGGTCTAGATGGGGAAATGAGCATGGGAAGAGGAGAGATCAGGTGGAGGCTGGATGGAGAGAGAACTGGGGAAGACAAATGGAATCAGGGTCATCTCTGGGGTGAGCTTGAAATCTAGTGCAACTGAAAATCCTAAGTAACTATGAGTGTGATCTTAGTTAAGAATCCCAGTGATAGAGGTCAGAGCCTGAACCATTCATGTCCTCCAACCAGACAAGAGCAGTGGAGGGATTACGGGCCAAACCAGCACATAACCTTTCACCTAAAATTTGTTCTACTTGCAAGTTATGGTGGAGGAATGTTGGCATGAAATGTGGGAGTGGCCAACCAACAACTGATCCAGCTAGAGACCCATACCATGAAAGGGAGTCCATCCCTAATACTGCCTGGAGGGTCAGACCCAGAGGCTGGACAGTCCAGAGATTTAGGATAGAACCAAACATGACTGGCACAAATTGTCAATTAAATGATTGCTGATATTCTGCTATATTCACAAATTGTCGCTTAGCTTAATTATCATCAGAGAGGCTTCACTCAACAACAGGTGGAAACAGATGCAGAGACCTACATCTAAACCTTAGGTGAACCTCAGGGAAGCCTGTGGAAGAGAGAGAGAAAGGATTGTGAGAACCAGAGGAGTCAAGGACACCACTAGAAAATCACAGAATCAACTAACCTGGGCTCATAAGGGCTCAGAGACTGAACTGACAATCAGTGAACTTGCATTTGACGCTTAGGCCCTCTCCATGTGCTACAGTTGTATAGCTTGGTCTTGTAGGTCTCATAAGGCTCTCTCTGACTGTGTTAACCCATTTTGGGGACCCTTCCCTCATACTGAGTTGCCTTGTCCAGTCTCAATAGGAGAGTAGGTGCTAGTTCTTATTCAACTTGATATACTATGGCTGGTTATGTTCATGGGAGACCTGCCCTTTCCTGATGAGAAAGGAGGATGAGTGGAAAGGGGATGGGAACTAAAAGGAGGGAAGAGGAGGAGAGGAGGAATGGAGAGTAAACTGTAATTGGACTACAAAATATTAACTAATTAATTTTGAAAATAAAGAGAAGGGGCTGGAGAGATGGCTCAGAGGTTAAGAGCACTGATTGCTCTTCCAGAGGTCCTGAGTTCAATTCCAAGCAACCACATGGTGGTTCACAGCCATCTATAATGAGCTCTGGTGCCCTCTTCTGGCATGCAAGCATACAGGGAAGGAATGCTGTATACATAATAAATAAATAAATCTAAAAAAAATAAAGAGAAAAAAAATTTCCCCAAATAAAAAAAATCTTACCTTAAGAATGTCTCTTTTTTCATTTTCTTGTCTTTCTTTCTAAATTCTCCCCCCCTCTCTCTCTCACACACACACACATATACACACAATATTATACATATGTATACAAATGTCAAAATGAAACCCAATACTGTGCATACTAACTTAAAAAGATAATTAAAATAAAAAAATGTAACATGAGGGGCTGGCTTGTTGGGGTTTCTATCCCACCCAGTACCCCACGGTAAGTCCCAAAGAAAATCACACAAAGTCTACATTAGGTTATAAACTGATTGGCCCATTAGCTCAGGCTTCTTGTTAACTCTTGTAGTTTATATTAACCCATTATTCTCATCTATGTTAGCCATATGGCTTGGAACCTTTTCCAGCTGTCAGCTCACATGTTGCTTCTTCAGTGATCTGGGCAGGAATGGAGGAATGGACTTCCTCCTTCTTAGCCTTCTCCTGTTCTCATCACCCCGCCTATACTTCCTGTCTGGTTGACCCCCCCTATACTTCCTGCCTGGCCAATCAACGTTTTATTAAAATACATGATTGACAGAATACAGATAATTCTCCCACACCAAAAAAGTAAAAATGTAATTTTATATCTAGTTTACACATATAAAATGTATAGTATTTACCTTTCAGAATCTGACTTATTTTGCTAAACATGATTTCCATGTGTATTCACTTTCATGCTTTTGACTTTTTTTACTGCCTAAAACTTTCAAGTCACATGGCACTCAAAAACCTCTCTGCTGCAATCTTGAAAGGAATTTGGATGAAAGATACTTAAAATAAAATTCCATATTCTGAATTCTCACCGCCCCTGTACCTTTAACTCTTGGGAGGATAAAGCAAGACTTCCCCAAGTTGAGGGTACTTAGCAAGTTCCAGTTTCAAATCAACAGTAAGACAGAGGGACACACAAACAAAGATGTATTTTACAATACCAGCATGAAAATGCAAAAGAGAATAGAGGGGATCATGTTCTAGCTGATTATTTTTCACTTCACACAAGTTATTTGGGAAGTGGAACTCTCATTTGAGAAAATGCATTCACATGATTAGTCTACAGGCAAGTCTGCTGTGCGTTTCCTTGATTCATGGTTGAAGTGAGACGGCTTAGACCACTGCGGTGGTGCCATTGCTTGGCAGGTCACCTGAAATTGCATAAGAAAGTAGGCTGAGCAAGGCATGAGGAATGATCCAGTATGTGGTGAACTTTGTTCCATCTGCTTCAGTTGCTGCCTCCAGGTTCCTTACCTTGGCTTCACTGAATGGATTGTGATCTGGGGTGTGTAAGATATGTAATCCAAATAGATACTTTGCACCAATTAGCTTTTGGTCATGGGTTTATCCCAGCAGAGAAACCATATCTAAAATTGCTACTGTGTACATAGATTGTGTGACTCTTTATTGTGAGATGTTAGCAAACATTTGCTGGTCCCAGATAGGGCACTGATGACAGATCCAATTAATGATACACCAGGACTATTTTACTGAACTTATGAGTTTATTAGGATTGGTTACAGGATCATGGTTCTACGGTCAAGCATGTTTGTTTAGAGATTCAACACTCTGACAATTACTACATTCTAATAATGCAGGGGCTTTTATTCATATCCCAACACCAGACATATATCTAGAATTCCAAACAGCAGCTTCGAGACACCCCAGTCAGGTGATTTTAAAGGCAAGGATCTAAAGTATTCTGTCTAGAAGAAAGCAGAAGGTCATCTGGTACAAAGCAAGGTTTCATTTGTAGAAACTGAAAGAGCAGTTTTGTTAAAGTTGTACAAGACCAGTCAACTACAAAAAGAACCGTTAGCAGGCTTTAACATCTCAGGTCCAATTTTGATTTACAGTTCTCTTGAGCACAGAAATTTTAAACTTTTAAAAGTAAAGTTAGCCGTCCATGTGACATTAGCCATGCTGCTGTATGAGGAGATAATAATGGGAGCACGGGTGATTCAAAAGTGTCTGTACCTCCACCCACTTGTGAAGAAATGGATAATGCCATAGGAAAGCTGTTCACCTGGTGCTCCCTCACTGCCCTGCAGGTAGTTTGGTTAACTGGACAGTCTTCTATGCTCTGATATTGCTATTACTCATAAAATCTTAGGGAAGGCACATTTGAGTCTTGTATGTTTCAGGGTTTGATGATACTTGTAAGGTTTTGTTTACCTCCTGGGACTTAATGATTTTTCTTCCAAAAGACTTCAATTCAGAGGAACTAGCTTCTCAGGTGCATAGTAACAGATACTTGGCAGAACTAGATGGTGCCTTACTTCAATCATATTTTAGAAAGCTTTTCTCAATAGAGAAGTCTACGTTGAAAGATTAAAGAAACACATGGAGTGAGTCTGTTGCTGATATGAAAGTGTGAGATACTAAAATGATTACAGCTTCACGTAGGTCTAGAATGTACAGCTATTTAGGTTTTACAGATTGACAAGAGTTAAAAGAAATAAATACCAATAGATTGAGGAAAAGTTTTTGATTTCTATCTAAAGGAAAAGTGAGAGCCATATTTTTAAATGAAAGAAAACCACATTCAGATGCAGACTGGATTAATGATGGATGATCCTGAGGTTAGAGACCTCTGCCATATGATTTCAGTAATTGTTTCATTGCATCTGTTTGTTTATGCTGCCAAAGGTGCTGTGGTCTCCACAGAAGAATTTTTCAGTACTTTCTTTGAGAACTCATGGGCTAAGATAGTCTTTGTTCTTAGATTATTGTTTCATAACTACTATGTACACACTGATCTCTTTGGAAAATTCCTGGGGCAGCTCGGTATTGGGTGTGGTCAATCATTGCTTGAGTGTCCACTGTTCAAATTCTGTGTATGGTCACCTCCAGCATTTCTTTTCTTTCATGTTCCTAGAAAGAGGTAAATGTTAAGTGATGTTGTATGCACATATTCTAGGAAGTATGAGGGAATGTAGGACCCATCGTATATGGAACAGGGTAGGTTCATGAGGATCTATTTCTTTCATGTTCTTTTAACTTCATACCCTTGGTCATTGATGACTGTAGTTTTGGGGGGCAGAAGTAATTAAAGACACCTAAAAAGCACTTCTGCAAGCTCATTTCAAAAACTGATGTTTTAATGAGAGATATGGTAAAATCCAAGGTGATTCTTCTTCCCTAGAGCAGTCAGCTGTTCTGCATCTCTATGTTCTAAGCCCCATCTTATCATTTTCTATGATACTCATTTCACTTTAGCTTTCTTTCTTCCATATTACCTTCTCCTATATAACTGTCTGCTTTGATTGTGAATATACAGTGAAGAATTAGTCTCTAGTCTGAAGCTTAGGGAAAGAATAAGGACTTACCTTTTCTATTGTAAAGCCCTACCTCAGTGGCCCTGTCCTGGTCTAAGTGAATGAAGACCACATACCCATTTTCCTCCAACTTCAGTTTCTCAGGCTCCTTAGATGTCTCCTTCTGGCTTCTTGATATTCCCTTTGGCAGAGCTCCAAGAATAAATGATGAAGATGAGGAAGACAGCAATCATGAAAAGTGACAGTCTAATCAGGATATGCAGGAGTCCGTGATTATCTGATGGAAGATATGAATCAATAAGCTGTCAATTTTAGGATATCTGTAATAGATTGCTTAATATTTAATGATAGATGGATAAGTAATGGACTATTAATCTTTAGAATTTTTTGTTGAAGTACTTAGCATTCTTTTTCTGCTAAATGCACACAGTATTAAAATGACATCTAATGACATTTCTTTAGACTCCCATATTAATGCATCTCTCAGCCCTCAGCAGGGAACTTCATACTTGTAATAGGTGGTGATCAATACAGATACCCACAATTAGCCAAACTACAGAGAATAAAAGACTGTAGAATTCTTGCTCTAAATGGGACATTTATACCACTTCCACTTCTATAATGTTCAGTGTTCATCATGAAAAAGCTGGCCAAAAAGACTGAATGAGGTTGATGATAACAACCAAGGAGAGTGTCTCCTGGACACAGGAGGGCAGTTGCATATATGAACTCAAAAGCAGTTGTGTCTACATGTGCAAAATCATTACATACTCAAGTAAACCAAATTCCATCATGCCCTGGGAATTTGGACGTGAAGCCTCAACCCTAGTCAAGGAGCTGTAGGTTAATGATAGCTGCTGTGAGGATCAGTTTCAAGAATGTTCATGTATGTAAGCTGACCTTGCTTTAGTGTTAGACCACACATCCCCTAATTTTTGGTCATCATAAATTGAACTTAATGGACAAAATGAGATAATAGGAAGAGTTGAGAAAGAGGGTTAATATGACCAAGGATTGATATTCTCAAATAACTAATACAAATAAAATAAAATATAAGAATTAGAGGGCATATGTTGGTGTGGAAAGTTCTTTTGCATATGTGTTGCTCTTGTTGGTTAATGAATAAAGGTGTTTCACCCAGTAGCCTAACAGAATAGAGCAAGGTGGGAATTCCAAGCTGATAGAGGAGGAAAGAATTCAGAGTCAGATAGAAGCCATGTAGCCACAGCAGGAGACAGACACCTGATGCTAGCTGGAACCTTGTCAGTAAACCATGAGTCTCATGATAAAAATGTAAAATAATAGAAATGGGTAAATTTAAGATGTAAGACCTAGTTAGAAATATGCTAAGCTATTGACCAAACAGTTGCATTTAATATAATTTCTGTATAATTATTTAAGGTCTGGGCAGCCTGGAAGCAAACAAACAGCCTCTAAATACAATATATAGTATGACTACATGTTTTGTATTTTCTCATATGAAATTCTAAGAATAAATATAGAATATGCTATAAATGGTATACATTGAGGCAAGAAGGAACCTTCCAGAACACCTTGGGCTCTGTTACTATCTGTACTACAACATGCCTTATGGTTTAGCTATATGTTCCTATGGCTTCAGTGTATAAAATCCAAGATAGTCAGTCCTTCATTTCCATGAAGAGCTGTGCGGGGGTTGGGGGGGGAAGCGCTGATGCAATTCCATTGCCAATCTGCATAATTTCTTAACCTTGGCAGACTGCAATGAAATGAAACCTCAATTTTTGCCTCATAATTTGAATTTGCCTTCTATTTCATGTGATTGTGTGACAGTGTTCCAAGTCTGTATCTTTATGCCACTGGCAGAAAATAGGCAAGACACTATGTACAGGTCCTGTGTTCTGTTTGTTAACATGATATTCACACCAGTGCTCAGCTAATATGCTTTGGAATTTATAAATCTTTTGCACCCCTGAACCCAACAATAATTCTCCAAAAAGAAAACATGAAGTCAAGGCCATCCCATCACACATTGTGTTTGTTAACTATATTCCCTTCTGCTTGCTTCCTTAACACTTTAGACCCCATCACCCCTCCAGGATGAATAGAGTTAGAATTAGCACTTCACTGTTGTTTGGAAGGAAGTAAAATTACCTTTTCTGATCACTTGCAGGGGTCTCACGTAAAGAAATTATGGATGGAGAGTCCCTAAAGATTTCATTCTGCCTCTAAATACCTTCTGATTTTACAGAGTTTGAGAATCAAGTATATACGATGAGGCTAAGATTACAGAGCTGTGAAGCCAGGACAAGGATGACTGGATAATTATTAGAACATAGGTGAACATATGAACATAGAACAAAAGTGACTGCCAGCTTGGGGGATGACTCATTAAAGCTGCATCCCTGGAACTATTACTGGAGGCTTGGTTCATTGGAGGGTCTCTTCTAAGCTATTTCTGTTTCTCATAGAATTTTGGGGGAGGGCCCTTGTCAATTACATATGTCTCAGGGTCTTTCTGAGTCATGTGAGATTTTGTTTACTTTCTGAGTCTTAATAAGTTCTCATCCAGCATGCAATATGTAAATTTAGAGGAGCTAAAATTTCAACAGAATAGTAATAGAAATTTGTGACAAAGAGGAGATGCCATGCCTCAATTACATCTTAGAAAATGTTTCTTAATAGAGGAGAAGTCCACATTGAAATATTAAAGAAATATATAAAGGCTTCTGGTGAGAGAAGACAAACAGCATTTGATGTACACAGAACAGTATATGATAAAGGCCAGAGAAAAATGTAGAGCTAAATAAAAATCATTAAAAATAGTGGGCTTCTTGAATGAGAACAGCTGGAGTGATAGAAAGTCAAGATAAGATAATTGGTGTGAATATGATTTAAATATACAGACATATAAGAAGCTGTCATGAGACATAATATGTTGTATACCATTCTGACATCCTGGAAATATATACTAATAAAAATAGTGAACTTCTTGTTGATATGAAATTGTGAAATACTCATCATGTTTACAGCTTCAACTAGGTTTAGAATTTGCAGATACTCAGGTGGTAAAGAAAGGCCAGAGTGAAATGAAAAAGAGACCCCTGGACAAGCAATAGAACTGATTTCTGTTGAGTGGATAGTGAGGGCTGTATCATTTTTAACTAAAGGAAAGTCACTTTGAGAATCATATTGGAATAATGAAGGATGGTTCCAGAGTAGGAGATATTTGCCCTCAGATTCCAGCTGTTATTTCACGTGTATTTATCAGACTGTGCTGGAGAAATGGGTGTGGTCTCCACAGAAGGCAACCTAGGATCTTTCTCTGAGAACTAATGGGGTGAAGAAGATCTTTCATCTCATCTTAACGTTTCCTGACTTCTATGTACACACAGGGATCTGTGTAAAATTCCTTGGGAATCTGGGAAATAGGAGTGGTCAATTGTTGTTTAAGACCATTTACTCAAATTCTAAGTATTCCACCTCATGCACTTCTTGTGTTTCAGGGTCCTAGAAAGAGGTAAATGTTAAGTGATGCTGTATGCACACAGAGAATGAAGGAGTGGTAGACTGCACTGAAGAGAAGACTCAGGAGGACCTACCTGACTATTCAGTATTGTTCTCACTTCAGACTCTTGATCCAAGTTTGCTTCATTTTCAGAGGGCAGAAGTAATCAAACACACATAATAAAATACTTCTGCACTATAATTTCAAATTCACAGTTACTGCTGTCTGGGGTTCAGCCTCCAGCAGCACAGGGATTTGTTAGGAATCCATGGAGCTTTTGAGGCTAGACTTTTCATTCTGTGGTGGGTTAGGGATGAAGGCACTCACAAACTCTCTTGATTTATTCTCCTTCTTTATTCTCTCTCTCTTTATTCTCTCTCTTATTTTTATTCTCTCTCTCATCATTCTCTCTCTCTCTACTCTCATGTTGTTTTATAGTTTTTATATTCCAACAGATTCTTCCAGGAAGTACAAGAGTCAAAAGAGTTTCATTCCATTTATCAACTAAATGGATATAGGTAAAAACATGTCCCTCATATGATTAAACATTTTATGTATTGCAGGTGAAAAAAGTTATCCCGAGAACCCACATACACTCATATCCAAGTAACTGGTTATAGATTAATGATATGAGCAAGCAAAGTGTTTTTGTCAGGTATACTGGCAGGATGCATTTTTCAGTTACAAAGAAAGGAACAATTACTCTATTACTTTTCTTGAAAAAGTCATATAAGGGATCTTAAAAGAATCACAAATCTAAACTTTTATTTATGAAAAGAATCAGTCAGTTCTACTTAAAATTTTTAGGGAACACAACCATTTATTAATAGTTTTTTATATCAGGAGATTGAGGGCAGAATTGAATATAAGGAATTAACCATTACCTTTGCTCCTCAACCAAACCTAGCAAAAGGAGCACTTCAGCCAGTAATAATTGGGATGTTTTGTTTTTGTTCTCTGAACTTAAAGAGTTTTTCATTCAGCTATGTACCTTTCTAAAACTTTAGATGATCTTTTGGGGTTTTTCACCTCAACATTATTTAACAAACACTTCAGAGTCTAACTAAGTTTTATTTCTACTGTGAAGCGCTCTGAGATCTTTGAACACATCTCCCAACATTAAGGTTCAAAGAATTTAAACTAGCTGGGCTACTGGAACTCAATTGTTATTCATTAACTTGAGCTACAATCCATACAGCTCCTTTAGGTGAAACTCACAGACCCTGGCTGTGAAGCATATTCTTGTATTTATTTTTATTCATCAAAACTCTGTATAAGTTATCATTATTATTACCAAATTATATAGTACAGCTTAGGGAGGGATAATCTTGACAATTTGTAGGCAGAAATGCCCAGTAAAATGGGATGTTTCCAAGAGATAAAGACACTATAGTACAGGCAGTGGAGATCTCCCCACATCCACTCACACCATGCTAGATACCAGAGAAACAACCACAGAAACATGTAAAGGCCCAGCAGAAACAAAAGATATTCTGGTGTCCATAGTCTGATGGCCTTGCCTAAACGAGATTGGCTCAGAAGAGGATTCCCATCTGGTGGGCTGACACCTGGAACTTTAATTGTAACTTGCAACTCTTCTAGCAATGACAATGGCACAATGTACTAGTGAGAGATATGGTAAAATCAAAGGCTGCTCACCTATGGCAGTTTGGAATCAGATGTTCTGATTTTCTATCTCTACAGATCTATCCTACTTATGCTGAACCTAGTAATTCTTTTTAAAAATAGTCTCTCTCTCTCTCTCTCTCTCTCTCTCTCTCTCTCTCTCT